TTCTGAGAACTGCTCTAGACACTCTAGCTGGAGGCTGTTGTCTGTCCCATTTATTTTCTCTGGCCCTTGGTCTCCTCATATGGTAGATCAGGAGTTCTCAAACACTGGTGTACACATGAATTATATCTGATAAGCTTTTTAAAAAATATATCAAAAAGCAGTGAAGATGCCACAGCAATCAGACAAAACAAAGAAATACAAGGCATCCAGATTGGTAAAGAAGAAGTCAAACTGTTACTATTTGCAGATGACATGATATTGTACATAAAAACCCTAAAGACTCCACTCCAAAACTACTAGATCTAATATCTGAATTCAGCAAAGTTGCAGGATACAAAATTAATACACAGAAATCTGTTGCATTCCTATACGCTAATGATGAACTAGCAGAAAGAGAAATCAGGAAAATAATTCCATTCACAACAGAATAAAAAAGAATGAAATAACTAGGAATAAACCTAACCAAGAAATTGAAAGACCTATACCCTGAAAACTATAAGACACTCTTAAGAGAAATTAAAGAGGACACTAACAAATGGGAACTCATCCCATGCTCTTGGCTAGGAAGAATTAATATTGCTAAAATGGCCATCCTGCCTAAAGCAGTCTACAGATTTAATGCAATGCCTATCAAAATACCAACAGCATTCTTCAATGAACTGGAAGAAATAGTTCTAAAATTCATATGGAACCACAAAAGACCCCGAATAGACAAAGCAATCCTGAGAAGGAAGAACAAAGCAGGGGGGATCTCGCTTGCCAACCTCAAGCTCTACTACAAAGCCACAGTAATCAAGACAATTTGGTACTGGCACAAGAAGAGACCCACAGACCAGTGGAACAGAATAGAGATTCCAGATATTAACCCAAACATATATGGTCAATTAATATATGATAAAGGAGCCATGGACATACAATGGTGAAATGACAGCCTCTTCAACAGCTGGTGTTGGCAAAACTGGACAGTTGCATGTAAGAGAATGAAACTGGACCATGGTCTAACCCCATACACAAAAGTAAATTTGAAATGGATCAAAGACCTGAATGTAAGTCATGAAACCATAAAACTTAGAAAAAAACATAGGCAAAAATCTCTCGGACATAAACACGAGCAACTTCTTCATGAACATATCTCCCTGGACAAGGGAAACAGAAGCAAAAATAAACAAGTGGCACTATATCAAGCTGAAAAGCTTCTGTACAGCAAAGGACACCACCAATAGAACAAAAAGACATCCTGCAGTATGGGAGAATTTATACATAAATGACAGATCCGATAAAGGGTTGACATCCAAAATTTATAAAGAACTGATGTACCTCAAGAAACAAAAAGCAAATAATCCAATTAAAAAATGGGGAGAGGATTTGAACAGACACTTCTCCAAAGAAGAAATTCAGATAGCCAACAGGGACATGAAAAGGTGCTCCACATTGCTAATCATCAGAGAAATGCAAACTAAAACCACAATGAGATACCACCTCACACCGATAAGGATCGCCACCATCCCAAAGACAAACAACAATAAATGTTGGCAAGGATGTGGAGAAAGGGGAACCCTCCTACACTTCTGGTGGGAATGTAAATTAGTTCAACCATTGTGGAAAGCAGTATGGAGGTGCATCAATAAACTAAAAATAGAAATACCATTTGACCCAGGAATTCCACTCCTAGGAATTTACCCTAAGAATGCAGCAGCCCAGTTTGAAAAAGACAGATGCACCCCTATGTTTATTGCAGCACTATTTACAATAGCCAAGAAATGGAAACAACCTAAGTGTTCATCAGTAGATGAATGGGTAAAGATGTGGCACATGTACACAGTGAAATATTATTCAGCCATAAGAAGGAAGCATATCTTACCATTTGCAACAACATGGATGGAGCTAGAGGATTTTATGCTCAGTGAAATAAGCCAGGCAGAAAAAGACAAGTATCAAATGATTTCACTCATCTGTGGAGTATAAGAAGAAAGAAAAAACTGAAGGAACAAAACAACAGCAGACTCACAGAACCCAAGAATGGACTAACAGTTACCAAAGGGAAAGGGACTGGGGAGGATGGGTGGGAAGGGAGGGATAAGGGGTGGAAAAAAGGGGGGGCATTACGATTAGCACACATAATGTAGTTGGGGGCACGGGGAGGGCTGAACAACAGAGAGGACAAGTAATGACTCTATAGCATCTTACTACAGTGATGGACAGTGACTGCATTGGGGTATGTGGGGGGGACTTGGTGATGGGGGGCGTCTAGTAAACATAATGTTCCTCATGTAATTGTAGATTAATGATACCAAAAAAAAAAGATATAATTCACATGCCAAAAAAAAAAAAAAAGCATGAAGCTTTCCTAGCCCCATGCCCTGAGATTCTGATTCAGTAGGTCCTAGTTGACCCAGTTATCTGCTCTTCAGCAGGCTCCCCAAAATAGTTCTCATGTCTATGATCTGGACCATTGGATGTCTCTTTAGTTTCCTTCAAGCCCCGAAGGTAATGTGGTTTAAAATGGCTTTTTTTGGGAGGGTTCAGTAACTGAAATCTTGTGGGTCAGAATTGTATTTCCAAAAAAATAAAATTTTTTACTATACTACATGAGGGTTCTTGGAGGCTTGTTCTCATTGCTCAGTTCACTCACTAAAAGAGGCTTCTGACCTGTGTAAACTTGGAAATTTCATTATGTGGTTCTTCTAGGTAATTTATAAGAAGAATAAACAAAACATCGGTTCTTAGGGAGTGCTACTCTTTTTAGTGGGCTCTTTTTGTCCCTACTCTTTACTTCCAATCTCTAAGCTTGTTCCCTTTGCATGATAACATGTTTCCCTCATCTCACTGTCATTCATATTTTTGTTTCTTTGATTTTTATGGTATAACCGTATTAGAAGTATTTTTCGCGAGCCTTCCTCTTGCCTGGGGCTGCTTCTTCTCACATGTTTTCCTCTGGCTGTCCCTTGAATGTTAGTGTTCTGGAGGAGACACCCAAGTTACCCCTTTCCCCACATCTCACCCATACGCTGTCCCCTCAGGGCTTGTGTCTTCATGTCTGCCCGGTCCTGGCTCAGATGTTGCCCTACCACCAGCTTTTATAAAGTAGCACCCGACTCTCACAGTTTTCTTCTGAGCTTTAGCTCCGTCCAATCAGCTGCCTGCTGGATGTCCCGTAGTCAGATCAGGTTAACTTAGTGAAAGTGAACTCCTTCTCCCCCCCTGCAGTCTGTGCTGCCTCTTGTGTTCCTGTCTTGGTGAGTGGCATCACCATCACCCTTCGCACAGCTACCATTTCATCCAGCATTTTCTCGGTACCGGCCACTGTTGTAACGACTTTCATGTAACTTCTCAAAAAATCCTTTGAGATAGATTCTGTTATTATTTCCATTTTACAGATGTGGAAACTGAAGCATACTTCTTTTAGACTGTATCACTTCATTGGTTTACTTCTGTGTTTCTATCACCCAGCATAGATGTTCAAGAGATATTGATTGTATGGAAGAATAAATGAATACTTGAATGAGCTAACTGATTTCTGCCATTTCCACCTGCTTGTTACCTTTGCAAAATAAAACTCTAGCAGGTAATATATTAGTTAGGGTTAGGTTCATCCATAACTAATTATCAGAATCAATAGTCCATGCACATTAGGGGATTATTTTTATTTCACATAAAGTTAAGTCTGGAACTAGGCTACCCAGGCCTAGCAGAGTGGTTTCTTGATTATCAGACAACCAGGTTCCTTCTGTCTTTTCTGCTCTGCCTTCCTGGGTGTGATCCTTGCCCCTGTATTCTCATCTCACGATGGCTGCCAGAAGTCAAGCCACCTGCAGGTGCTCATTGTAGGGAAGAAGGGAAAGGTCAAAAAGCAAGAGAGAGCTTGCCAGCAGTCTGCCTCCTGTCCTCACCCCTTTTAGGGGCTTTCCTAAAGGGCCTTCCAAGTATTTCCCCTTTTACTCAGTGATCAGACACTATCACAGTATCACCCCTGGCTTCAGGGGAGGCTAGGAGATAGAGTTTTTGTCTTAGTTCTTTGCTGCTTGCTCTAAAATGGGTTCTGTTAATAGGAAGGAGAGAACAGATACTGAATGTTAACTAGAAGTCTTTACATAGCTTAGCATGATTTCTTCTTAAGTGATCATAGACAATTTTAGTAAATAGTTTGCAGATCAGTATGTCAGTACTTTTTTTAAAAAGTGTGTGTGCGTGCGCACACACACACACACAGTTCCAACATGGGTTTGAACTCCACAGGTCCACTTACAACATGGATTTGTTTCAGTAGAGTACTGTAAATATATTGTCTCTTCCTTATGATTTTCTTTTTTTGTTTTTTTTAAATTTTGGTATCATTAATCTACTATTACATGAGAAACATTATGTTTACTAGACTCCCTCCATCACCAAGTCCCCCCCACAAACCCCATTATAGTCACTGTCTATCAGCATAGTGAGATGCTGTAGAATCACTACTTGTCTTCTCTGTGTTGCACAGCCCTCCCCATGCCCCCCTATGTTATACATGCTAATCGTAGTGCCCCCTTTCTTTTTTCCCTCCCTTATCCCTCCCTTTCCACCCATCGTCCCCAGTCCTTTTCCCTTTGGTAACTGTTAGTCCATTCTTGGGGTTTGTGATTCTGCTGCTGTTTTGTTCCTTCAGTTTTTCTTTGTTCTTATACTGTACATATGAGTGAAATCATTTGATACTTGTCTTTCTCCACTTGGCTTATTTCACTGAGCATAAAACCCTCTAGCTCCATCCATGTTGTTGCAAATGGTAGGATTTGTTTTCTTCTTATGGCTGAATAATATTCCATTGTGTATATGTACCACATCTTCTTTATCCATTAGTCTACTGATGGACACTTAGGTTGCTTCCATTTCTTGGCTATTGTAAATAGTGCTGCGATAAACATAGGGGTGCATCTGTCTTTTTCAAACTGGGCTGCTGCATTCTTAGGATAAATTCCTAGGAGTGGAATTCCTGGGTCAAATGGTATTTCTATTTTGAGATTTTTAAAAATATGGAATGCTTCATGCATTTGCATGTCATCCTTGCACAGGGGCCATGCTAATCTTCTCTATATCATTCCAATTTTAGTATATGTGCTGCCAAAGCGAGCACCCTTATGATTTTCTTAATAACATTTTCTTTTCTGTAGTTTACTTTGTTGTAAGAATACAGTATATAATACATATGACATACAAAATCTGTGTCTATTGACTTTATGTTATCAGTAAGGCTTCTGGTCAACAGTAGGCCAACTTCTGTTCAACTTAGTAGTTAAGTTTTTGGGGAATCAAAAGTTATATGAGGGTTTTCAACTGCATGGGCAGTGTGTGTGGGTGAGCACTCCTAACTCCTGCATTGTTCAAGGGTAAACTGTGTATTTTGTGGATTTGAAGGGAGTTGTACCTTTCTCTGTCTTTGTGCTTTACATAAAATTAGTAATCTTTTTGGATATTTTAGGATATTTAATTATAGGCATCTAAAAGATCTAAGTGATTACTTTTTTGAATTTTAATTTTTTCTGAGTATTTGTACTTGTAACTTTAGAGCACATTTTCTTAAAGTCTCATTGAGATGTACCCCAGAATCTTCTTGTGGAAGTGTAAATTGCTCAACTGTTTGGCAAAAGATTTGGCAGTTGGTGTCAAGAAATAAGGTGTCTCTATCTTTAATCTCCTTCTGTTCATTCCTCTACAAATCTAAAATCTTTATTCTATAAATTGGGTGTTTTTTTTTGAGAATTTAATGGCTTGGGGAAGTGCTCAGGATATACAGTAATGTTCAATGGAAGGAGCTGGAGTCAAAATTTAAGCTCAGGTCATTATATTTTCAGAAAAAATGCAGTTTTAATAGTTGTCCTTTATTCTACTCTATGGATGTCACATATGTATTAATCCTTCTCTTTTTATTGAACACTTAGCTAGGTCCAATTTTTCACTATTAGAAATTTGATGAATGACTTGATACATTTGTATATAATTTGGTTTAGATTTCTGAGTTTTTAAGATAGATTTTTAGAGGAATGAATAGAAGATATTAAAGATATAGATCCCTTATTTGTTAATATCTATTGCCACATCTTTTGTCAAATGTGTATACGCACATTTGATTTTATAAAATTTATGAATTTATTATGAAGTGTAGAAAAAAGACTAATAAATTAAAGCTTTAAAAATAATTTATCTTTTGTGGATTATTATTACTGTTGTAATATTTTCTTTATATATATGTTTTTCAATGGCTGTTTTTATGATTTAAGAATGAATTGAGCTGAAGATAAAGAGTATAACTTCTATATTGATAATCTGCTGCTTTCCTATTTAGGGTCTAGCATCAAAGGTGAAATTCTAATGTTGATGTTTTAATTAAAGAAGAATAAGCTCACAGCAGATATATCTTCTAGGTTTGTAATTTATATATTAGACATGTTTGCTTGCATTTGTTTAGAGATAGTCTTGATTTTTCTAGTAAGTTCGACCTTGCTTAATGAAATCTAGTAAATTGAAATAAACAAAAGTTGCTGGATCTTTTTCTTTTCCTCTAGTGGTGTTGGTTGTAGCTGTTAAAACAAAACCAGAAAACTTAAATTCTCACATTCAGTAGCTGGATTGTGTGGTCCTATGGTCATTTTTAGCTTGTCTTCATTTCCGGAGTAATCCTGTTAATATGTGAGCATATATTTGTTTCTAGAGGTAAAAGCTGAGAGGATTGTGGAGCCCATGTGTGCATGTCACTAACCCTTAAGCAAGGTAGGGTGTCTCATATTCACAGACTTTGTAGCTGGGAATAGATTAATTTTAGAGATGCATTCCAGAATGTTAGATAAGGAGAGAGAGTATGAAAAACATGTTAAATAAACCAAAGTAGTGTTGGTAAAAACACAATAAACACAAACCTCTTAATCAACAACATATAGTTGGGGATTTGGGGACTGTAAGATAAATTCTAACCGAAATAAGCAGGTGATGAGAGGCAACAAAGGGCCAGGGAGTTTATTTGAGCACAATCCCAGGCGATGTTCCCAGTCTGGCTAGTTACACGCCGGGGAAGTCACACTGAGCAGGGGAGTCAGGTAGTCTTTAAAGAAGGTAGGGGGAGGCAGAGCTTAGATTTACAGCGGCGGGAGGATTGGCTAGCCTAAGGCACACATTTCAGGTTGGGAGGGGGCAGCAGCCAGGGACTTTGGCACGTCATCAGTGTCCGACGTGCTCACCCCTCCCTCCAGTGCCTACAGCCTTACATTCCAGCCTTTTGGTCATAATGGGTGATGACCTGATATGGCTACTTCTGGCTGAGGAGGGGCGACATGGGTAGGGTTAAGGCTGGTGGGAGGCCAGAGGAGGCTTGGAGAGAAGGGGCGAGTACTGGTGTAACAGCATTTGGTTTACTGCAATGTGAAATAGGTTTGCTAGGTGTTGTTGTAGCAAGTTAGGCTTTGTCACATCTAGTACGGTTGTCCAGATGATGAGAGACAGACTGAGGCTTGTTCACGTAGCAGGCAGCCTGGATGAAAGACTGGAAAGACGAGCATTGGGCAGCACAAGGGGGTATCTTTCTTAGGAGTGAGAAGTAAGGTAGGTAGGAGAGGTGTCCGGGGGAACTTGAGATAAGAGAGCATAAGGGTTAGCAATGACTGGGTGAAGAGGGATTACAGCCTCGTTGATTATCTGCAGGTCTTGAACAAGCTGGTAGGCCCCTGATGGCTTCTTGACTGGAAGGATTGGAGTGTTACAGGGAGAATTAGTTGGTATCAGAAGCCTTTGGGAAAGAAGATGGTTAATGATAGGTAGGATGCCCTTGCGATGGGCTTGGGAAATACGAAATTGGGGTCTAGAAGGAGAGGAGGATGGGTTCTTGAGGCAGGTGAAGACTGGAGCATGATGGCTTGACACTACAGGAATAGAGGTGTCTCAGATTATCGGGTTAACGCCGGTCGACAGTACAGGATGGTCTGTGGAGGCCTCAGGGCTACAACTAATATTGGCTAAGATGATGAGTGAGCTCGGTTGGGGATGACTAAGAATCAGGGAGATAGAGGCACCAAGCTTGGAGAGGAGATCTCTCCCTGACAAAGGGAAGGGACAGGACAGAATGACTAGAAATGAGTGGGTAAGAGGATGGCTCTCAAATGTGTAGGCTACCGGACCTGTCTCTAGAGGCTTAGAGGGAGTTCCCATAACACCCACAACCGAGACCTGGGAAGGATGTAAACGCCTGTGAAAGGAAGGTAAAACAGAGTAGGCAGCCTCCATGTCCACTAAAAAGGAGATGGACTTACCTGCTACCCACAGTGTGGCCCTGCGCTCAGCAAGGGTGACAGGGGTGTTCGAGTCTAGGCATCTTCAGTCTTCAAGTAGGCCCAGCAGGTCCGGAGGGGAGTCTCTCAGAGGGGCCTGACTCCCACGAGACTCTGTTGTGGGGGATGCCCTTCCCCTACTGGGCACTCTACTTTCCAATGACCTCTCTTACTGCAAACTGTGCAGGGTTTAGTTGGCTTGTTGGTTGGGTTGGGGCATCTCTTTGCCCAGTGGTCTTCCTGGCCACACTGGAAACAGGGTCCTGGAGGTTCACAAGCTCCGGACCATCTTTGGTGTGATGAGACCCCTGTCCTGCCAGCCGCAGGGCTGCTGCGAAGGCTCAGGTTTGGGACACTGTCCTCCTCTCATGTTCTTCATCACGGGTATTGAAGACTTTAAAGGCCATGGTTACCAGGTCACGGAGTGGAGTTTGGGGTCCCTCTTCTGCCTTTTTAACTTATGTCTTATGCAACTAATGCTTGTTCTGGTGAAATCTAGTTCTTTACTAGTTTAGGAGTAATAAAACAGTGACTATAAAATGACAAAAGACTTACAAATGACAATGGTTAAAGATCTGATGAGAGCTTACTGTAAGACAGTTGACATAAGGAAATTCAGATATTTCTCTAACACAAAACATTCAGTAACAAAGTTTAGCATAATTTCTTTTGACAGTGTTTTCCAGGTAAATTAGCAGGTAATTTTATATCAGATAAATAAGCCAAACCTGCTAAATACTTTCTCTAATGAGAAAAAAAAACTAAATTGGCTAAATACTTTCTTTAATGAGAAAAAATTCCTCTGACTTGTTCCAGGGGCCCTCTGGAAAATATCAGAGTTAAGTAGAGGTAAAAGCACCTTCTTGAATTTGATTTTGGGAAGCTATTTAAGTTTTTTTAAGACATTTGTCTAAATAGAATCATAAGTTACTATGAAACAATACTTATCTATTTAACTAGAATGACAATAAAAGATTTTAAAGGCAAATACAGAAGGTTACAAAGTAATTAGCAAAGCTTAGCTTTTAGTTTTTTCATATTAAGATCTCATTATCTTAAATATTCAGACAACTCATTAAAACTTTAAACATGAGAAACTGTTAAAACAATTAGAGAACTCTTTGCAATCTTTCAACATTAAGAGCAGACTAACAGTTGAGAAAACTTTCTTTTTAACTGAAAACAGAATTCTAATTTTGCTGTGTACTTGATACTTAGACTCATTTGGGAGACTCATTTGGTTTAATTTCATATAACATGACCATATTAAATTCTTCCACAAGCTTTCTACAACTTTCCTTTTACATTCAGTGTTCTCCCTCTTTAAATAAATAGCTGTACTTTAGAACAAGTACCTTTTTTTACCCTCAACAAAATGAATTTCCATTCTTTATACTTTCTCTTATTAAAACACACATCTTTTTAGCAAGTAGAGATGTTTTCTTCTTTAAGTAGCTTTAATTAGACCTCAAAACCATTAGGAACTTTAATTTTCAGTGAACCCTGAGAAGTGGGCTATTGTAAACTATTGCACTAGCATTCTTTAGATTAACAAATTCATGAACATACTTTATAATTCCTGACACCATGTGCTTTACAGCATAATCTCTAAGCACAAAATATGTTTACTTAACTTAGCAAAACTTCAAGATTCTAGGTCACCACAAAAATTTTCAGGCTGCAGGCAGGCACACACACTGCAACACACAACAACTAAGATGTTCACTTGCCACGCCCAGCCCACCCACTGTCAGTAACTACGCCAGACCACTCACAAAACAGGTGTGGGGAGGGGTGTAGGGTGGGGAGGGAAAGGAGG